TTTGAAAATATTGCCATTAGACTAGACATGCTCTTCCTTTTTCTTAGTTTACCCCATTATCTTGTTACTTGGCTTCCTCTATTAGCTTCCTCTGAAGGGGCTTTAGGAGTTTTTGTTGTTGTTTTTTGTTTTTTCTACATTTTACATGCAAAAAAGAAACTGTAATTCAATTTTTATCTCCTATTGTCACTTGGTTAATCCTAATAATCTATGCTGCTATTTGATACCTTAGAATTTTGTTAGTAATTTTCCACGGTCATCTTAAGCTTAGGGTATTGTTAATAAGTCCAGTGTTATTCCCATCTTTGAAACTGTGAATGTGAACTGATTATTTCCTCTGGAAGTTCTTGTGACCGTGTCGACAACCCTGGTATTCTAAAATTCCATAATGATGTGCCAAGTGTAGATTACTTTTCACTTAATTTCTTGAGACCTTAGTGGATACTTGCAATTAAAAAAAATCATGTCCTTCAGTTGTGGAAAACTTCATTGTATATCTCTTTGATATTTTTTCCATTATTTCACTAGTCTTCCTTCCTGCTTTCCTTCCTTTCCCCTACTCTCCTCCCAACTCCCACCACATAATTCCATGAAAACATTCTTTTTCCAGCTCTTATCTCTTTGGCACCCCAGATCTGCCTTCATTTCTTTTCATTTGTTTCCCCCAGACTCCTGACTCCTGTCAAGTCTTTAATCCTCCAGATACACTTTTGGAAATTTTAGTTAAGGTAAGGTTAATTTCTATTTCTGCAACCAAGGTAAGAGCTCTAAATGACACACCAACTGGTGTTATAAGAAACAGATATATTAATACTATATATGTTTATATAAACATACTTATAATATAATCATTATACTTAAAATGATTCTTATATCATCTTTTCATATTTCTTTAGTAATAAAATTAAATATGCATAATTATAGTTATATAATAACAATAAATATTTGTTAAAATATATACATAATTCTGTCACTTAAAAAAACAATGCAATAACCATTCTAAATATAATTTGAAGTAAAAAAATGTGTCATAGCATATTCATTTGATGCTGATTTTAACAGGTAAAAAATAAACTGCTTTAAAACCAGAAAGTTTTAACCTTGGATCAAAAAGAATTAAAATATAAATGCTTCATAGCCATGAAAACAAAGTAACTGCACTGGAAACTTTAAAGGATTGATTTGCTTTGTAAGGGAACTTTTTAGTTCTAAATATTTTCTAATGTACTAAATGATAATTTTATCAGTCTAGTGTTAAACTATTTAGCATGATTATACACTGGGTTATAATGGAAATTGATTGTAATGCATACAGTATGTTTCTTTTACAAGTATAGAAAGAAGCAATGGTATTTTTCAAATTCATCCCAGAGGCTATTTTAGACTTTCTCTTAAAAATAATTTTTATATTCTATATAATGATATAAATAAAATTACATTTAATTTTATTGAAGATAGTTTATTGTTTAATGATGCTGTTATACAATAATGTTCTATTATGCCATCAATAAAAACATTACATTAAGTTGGTGTAATTGTCATCAATTATGCATTATAAATTGCAAATATATTTTCTCACTCTTTCTAACTGAAATTACTCTGTACAACTGAAGTTAGACTAAGGTGTCTATTCAATTGAAAATGTGAAGAGTATAAAACACTCAATTCCTTCAATGATTCATTGTGTATTTTCTTTGAATATGGAAAAAACCAAAGTGGTAATGGACAGCATGAAAAGAGATCATTAGATTTTAATATTCCTTTTTTTTCTAAGGGAATGATTCTTGTGATAGAGTTTTATTTCCCACAAATTAATATCAATATCCCTGATATTTTAATTTTTGTTTCATTTGTTGCTTAATTATAGTAGAAATTATTAATATTTACTTGGAGAGGCCACTACTGGATATCAGCAGGAAGGACAGAGTACGGAACTCAAAAAATCCTCTCTTCCATAAATGCAATGAGAACAGCAGAAAAATTGTCAAAATCAACTTTTTCTGAAGACTGAGTTGGAAGCTTAACCGATTGAGCCACCCAGGTGGCCCTTTTTTGAGTTTATTTTTGTATATAATACAAGAAAGTAGTCCAGATCCATTCTTTTGAATCTACCTGTCCAGTTTCCCCAACACCATTTGTTGAAGAGACTGTCATTTTCCCATTTCATTTTCCTACTTCCTTTGTCATAGATTAGTTCACCATGTAATTGTAGAGTTACTTTTGGGCTCTCTCTTCTGTTCCACTGATCTGTATGTCTATTTTTGTGCCAGTAACATACTGTTTTGATTACTACAGCTTTCTAGTTTATCTTGAAATAAGATGCTAATACTCATTCCTAAAACAATTTATCTTGACATAAGATGCTAATATTCATTCCTAAAACACTAAGAAAATAATTCAAATAGCTCATATAGTAAAAGAAATGACAAGGAAATTAAAATGGCACACCAGAAATAACTATCTGACATAAAAAGGAATACTGGGGGGCTTGAGGAACAAAAATGATATATGATAAATAGAGAAAATAACAAAATGACTGAGGTAGATCCTAATTTATAATAATTACATTTAATGTCAATTATTTAAACCCTCAGATCAAATGGCAGATATTAGCAGAATGGGTTTTTTAAAAACAAATGTTCTAGGAGCATGTGGGCGGCTCAGTCAGTTGAGCATTTGACTCTTGATTTGGGCTCAGGTCATGGGCTCAGGGGCATGGAATCAAGCCCAATTTCAGGTTCTGAGCTTGGCATGGAGTCTGTTTGTTCCTCTCCCTCTGCTTCTCCCCTCATTTGTGCTTTCTCTCTCTCAAATAAATAAATGGATAAAGTTTTTAAAAAGAAATAAAAGAAAGAAAAAAAACATGTTCTAATTACGTTATATTCAGAAGAGTCATACATTTATTAAAAAAAGGTAGAAAATAAATGATAAATATATATATACCATGTAAATAATAACCAAAAAGAGCTGATATGACTAAACTAACATCAAAAAATAAAACCCTTTTGTTAAGATTTTTTTTTTTTTTTTATTTGACAGAGAGAGATCACAAGTAGGCAGAGAGGCAGGCAGAGAGGGAGAGGGAAGCAGGCTCCCCACCGAGCTGATAGCCCGACACGAGGCTCGGTCCCAGGACCCTGATATCATGACCTGAGCCGAAGGCAGAGGCTTAACCCAATGAATCACCCAGGTGCCCCCAAAACATAACCTTTAATACAAAATTTTTATAGAGACAAATAAGGACATCTTATATAGGTGAAATTGTTAACCCACCAAAAGTATATAAAAATACATAACAATTCTAAACATTTGTAACTAATAACAAAGATCCCAAATATATGAAGCAACAACTCATAAAACTGAAGATATAGATAATTCAACAATAATAGTTGGATACTTTAACACCCCACTTTAAGTAATAAATAAAACAACTACACAGAATATTAAAAGAAACAGAAGACTTGAAAACACCGTAAAACAAACAGACTTAACAGACAAGTGACACTACACTTAACAAAAGCAAAATATACATTCTTCTAAAGTGCACTGGAAACATTTATCAGAAGAAACTATATGCTAGGCCATAAAACAAACCTCAATAAATTTAAAGGACTGAAATATTTAAAAGCATTTTCTGTGAGCATAAGAGGATAAAATCAGAAATCAGAAAGTTGATTTGAACATTTCCAAATATGTGGAAACTATAGAACACATCACTAAATAACTGATGTGGTTAATAAAAAATCACTGTGAAATACTGAAATATTTTAAGATTAATGAAAAAAAAACCACAATATATCAAAATTTATAGATGTAGTGAAAGCAGTACCTAGAGGTAAATTATAATTACAAAATCTTATATTAAAATGAAACATCAAAACAATAACCTAACATTCCACCATTAAAAGCTAGAAAAATAAGAGCAAAACTTAATAAAAAGGTAGTAGAAAGAAAAAACTAATGACAATTAGGCCAGATATAAATGAAAATGAATATAGGAAAACAAAGAAAATCGATGGAATCAAATGTTGTTTCTTTGAAAACATCAAGAACAAAGATAAACCATTAGCTATATTGACCAAAAGAGGGGGAAAAAAGGGAGAGAGAGAAAGAGAAAAAAAAAAAACTTATTAGAATCAGCAATAAAAGAGATCACATTACCAGTACACTTATAGAATTTAAAAGATTATAATGGTATTTGTTATATAAAAAATTCTATGCCAGCAAATTAAATAACATACATAAAGCAAATAAATCCTAAAAAAGATTCTAACTGCCAAAACTGACTCAAAAATAAACAGGAATCTTCAAGAGCCTATAATGAAGAAACTGAATTGATAATTTTTTTTAAATTTCCCAAACAATAACCCAGGGCCACATGGCTTCACTTGTGAATTCTATCAAATGTTTATAGAACTGCCACCAACAATTCTCAGTTTATTTTATGAGGCAAATATTACCTTGATACCAAAACCAGACAGACATCACAAAAAACAAACAAACAAACAAACAAAAACAAACAAACAAACAAACAAAAAACAGCGGTGGGGGAAGACAGAGAGAGAAAGAGAGACTACAGATTGGTATTACTTACATATTACATATTACGTATTACATATATTACTTACATATTACATATTACTTACATATTCTTGACTAAAGACTAAAGACCAAGTCCAAAAATACATAAAAGTATTATATATTATGACCAAGCAGGATTTATCCTACAATGTAAGATTTGTTCTACATATCAGCAAGGTTGAAAGATATAACATCAATATTTAAACATTAGTTGCATTTCTAAGTGCTAGTAGTGACCAATCTAGAAATGAAATTAAAATAAACAATTCCATTTATAATAGCACCAAAATGAGTAAAATATATTAGTTTTACTACTAACAAATTTTAAGAAATTAATTTAACAGAAGAAGAGTAAGACAATAATCTAAAAGGAATTTAAAATGCCTAAATGTGTGAAGGATCCTGGGTTTATTAATTAGAATATTTATTTTTTTAAATGGCAATAATCCCCAATGTATAGGTTCAATGCAATCCCTATAAAAATTGTAGCTGCTTTTTTTTTTCTTTCAGAAATTGGCAGACCGATCCCAGAATTCATATGGAAATGCAAGGGACCCAGAACATTTAAAACAATCTTGAAAAGGAAAAGCAAAACTGGAGGACTCACAAATCCCCATTTCAAAATGTAATACAAAATACCATAATCAAGACTGTATAGTAGTACTGGCATAAAGATGGGCCTAACAATCAAAAAAATAGAATCAAGAGTCCAGAAATACACCTTAATATTTATGGTCAATTCATTTTCAAGAAGAGTACCAAGACAATTCATTGTAGGAAGAACAGGCTACAACAAATGGTACTAGGATAACTGGACATTCAAAAACAAAATAATGAAGTTGAACCACTAATTAATGTAAGATATGAAAAATAACACACTGTAGATTAAACATAAGTATAATAATGGAAGCTAAAATTCTTAGAAGAAAACAGATTTAAATCCTGTGACCTTGAATTAGACAATGTTTTTCTAGATAGGAGACCAAAACCAAAAGCAACAAAAGAAGAAAACAGAAGAACTAGATATAATTTTTAAAAATCTGTGCTTGAAAAGACATGATTAAGAAAGTGAAAAGAAAACTCATAGAATGGGACAAAATGCTTGCAAACCATATGTCTGATAAAAGACTTGTATTCAGTGGGAGGATGGCATGAATTTTAATATTTATATGAGGATTAAATCAAATATTCAAAATAATTTAAAACATTACATGAGTTTTAAAATTTATATGAGGGTTAAAATCAATAATTTATAGAATATGTAAATAATTCTTATAACTCAACAATAAAAACACAGCTCAAGTAAGGAAAAGGAAAGAATTTTAGACATTACTCTCAAATATATAAAATTTAGGTATTTCTCTAAAAAAAGTACTTATGGGTAAGATGGTAGAGTAGGGGGACCCTAAACTCACTTTCTCCCAGAGATCCAACTCGATAACACCCACATCAGTGCAAATAACCCAGAAAACAACCAAAAGACTGACAAAATAAACTTCACAGCTAAATGGAGAGAAGAGGCCACATCAAGTGTGTAGGAAAGGTGGAAATGTGGTAGGTTGCTAAACAGACTTGTGGCAGTGTCCAGTGGAGGGAGGGATGCTGCAGGAATGGAGAGAGAAAAATAGATTTGCACACTGGGGAGCTCACACAGGGAAAACAAATCCCCATAACAGTTGGCTTTGAAAACCATAGGGGCTGAATTTCATGAGTTCCTATGATCAACAGAGCTTAACACCTGGACTTTAAAAATCAGTGGCTGGTCTCTGGGAGAGGTGAGATGTAAGAGAAAACTGAGTCCCTGCCCTTAAAGAAGCAGTACAACAAACAATTCCCAAGAGATAAAACATAGAAGCAACAGTTTGAAAAATGCCTGACATACATGGTAGGGAGTTTGTTTAATAATCATAATACCTCATAACTAAAGGGGCAAGGATCATGGGAGACTTCTTCAGGAAAAAGGAGGTGGCAGGAGCCATTTCCCTACTCAGCTCCCCAGCCTGTAAACAGTGACATATTCAATAACTAGCAAAACTTGAACACTCTTCATCTAACTTGCTAAAAGCACATCGTTCCACTGCATTCTCCTGAGAACAGGCAACCCCCAGTCAGGTCTTGGCTTTGGGTCTCCTTTCACAGCAGACCCACACAAACCTTGCTAACACCTAATCCTACCACTGCATGCTTCTGCAGATCCACTCCCTACAACTGGGCATGCCTCAGTCCCTGTAGCTAAAGGTCCCTTCCCACAGTGAACCTGTGCAAACCTTGCTAACACCCACTCACCCTACCCACTGTTCTCCTAAAATCCTGCCCCTTCTGATAAGCTCTAGGCTGGAGCCAATCCAAATTCATGTATGCAAGCAGCCCTGACAGGGGCCAGCGCCACTCCCAAGTGACTCCCTTCACAGGGAAAGAGGAAAATAATCACATATACCAGTCCAATTGCTGCTCCAGCAGTTGGTTGGTGGCAGATATCAGGTGTAACTGCAGACACTGAGAATCAGAAAAAGCTTCTCAGAGAACAACACAGGGAAAATATCCTGCTGTTCAGCGCTACTGCATCTTTAGTAAAATCCTGGCTTGACTCAATTTAAGCCCAAGCTGACCAGATGATTGGCCTGCTAGCCAAGCTCTGCCTACAACAGAGAGCAATTATAGATGACTGGACTGAAGGCCAATGCAGCTCAGCCACAACAGTAGGGTATACAAAACTCACATAGGAGACACACCTGAAGCACTTGGTTCTGGTGAACAGGTGACATCATAATTCAGGACACCATGGGACCTCTTCTTCTTAAGCCTACTACCTCTAAGAGCAGAAGACATATCTGTCTTTCCTAACACATAGAAACAAAGAGTTAAACAAAATAAGGAGACAGAGGAATATGTCTCAAATGAAAGAACATGACAAAAATCACACAAATCTAAATGAAATGGAGATAAGTAGTATTCTTATAGACAATTTAAAGTAACAGTCATAAATATATTCATAGAACTTGAGAAAAGAGTAGAAGATCTCAGTGATGTGCTTAACAAAAAGACATAAAACAAAAAAGAACCATTCAGAGATGAATTCAATAACTGAAATTAAAAATGCACTAGATGGAATGAATAGTAGACTAGAGAAAGAAGAACAGATCAGCTACACGGAGGACAGACTAATGAAAAGAAATCAAGCTGAACAGGGGAGAGAAAAAAATAATAATAATTGAGGGGCGCCTGGGTGGCTCAGCAGGTTAAAGCCTCTGCCTTCGGCTCAGGTCATGATCCCAGGATCCTGGGATCGAGCCCCACATTGGGCTCTCTGCTCGGTGGGGAGCCTGCTTCCTCCTCTCTCTCTGCCTGCCTCTCTGCCTACTTGTGATCTCTATCTGTCAAATAAATAAATAAAATATTTAAAAATAATAATATAATAATTGAAAATAGACTCAGCAACACCATCAAGTATAATAACATTTGAATCACAGAGATATTAGAAGGAGAAGAAAAGAGGGAGAACAAAATTTATTTAAAGAAATAATAGATGAGAACTTCCCAAATCTGGTGTAGGAAACAGAAATCCAAGTCTAAAAGGTACAGAGAGCTCCCAATAAAATCAATCCAAGGAGGTGGACACTAAGACACACAGCGATTAAAATGGCCAAAAGTAGTGATAAAGAGAGGATTTTAAAAGTAGCAAGAGAAAACAGTTACATGCAAAGGAAACCCAATAAGGCTGATTTTTCGGCAGAAACTTTGCAGGCCAGAAGAGAATAGCATGATATATTCAGTGTTGACAGAGAAAACTTGCAGTTAGGAATGCTCTATCTCAGCTAAGGCTATCATTCAGGAAAAGGGAAAGAAAGAGTTTCCCAGACAAACATAAATTAAAGGAAGTCATGCTCACTAAATCAGCCTCATAAGAAATGTTGAAGGGGACTCTAAGTGCAGAGGGAAGACCATATATAGGATTAAGAAAAGTAGGAAGCATAAAAGCAATAAAAATAAGTATATTTATAAAAGTCAAAGGATTCAAAAAATAAAAGAATATAAAGTATGACACCATATATTTAAAACATGCTGGGTAAGAGGAGTAAATAATGGGTTCAAACTTAGGAGAATATCAACCTAACATAAATTGCTATATGCGTAAAATATTAGATACAAACCTAATGGTAACCACAAATAAAAAACCAATAATACATATGCAAAAAATAAAGAGAAAGGAATCCATGTATATCCTAAAGAAAGCGAACAAATCATGAAAGAAGAAAATAAGAGAAGAAACAAGAAAGAACAAAAAAAATCACAAAATACATAACAAAAGAAAATAAATGCATACTTATCAATAATTAAATTAACTTAATTAACTTAATATAAATGGACAAAATTAACTTAATTAACTTAAATGTAAATGGACCAAACATTCTAATCAAAGACATAGGGTGAAAAAATGGATAAAAGAGCAATACACATCTATATGCTGCCTATAAGAGACTCACTTCAGACTTAAAGACACATGCAGACTGAAAGTGAAGGGATGAAAAAGTACTTATCATGCAAATGGAGTGAAAAGAAAGCTGGGGAAACAATACTTATATCAGACAAAAGACCCTAAATAACCAAAGCAATCTTGAAAAAAGAACAAAACTAGAGGCATTAAAATCTTAGATTTCAAGATACACTACAAATCTGTAATAATCAAAAAGCTATGATATTGGCACACAGACAGACACAAAGATAATGGAACAGAATAGAAAGTCCAGAAATAAACCCACACTTCTATCATCAATGAATCTATGACAAAGGAGGCAAGAATACATTATTGGGGGGGGGGAAGTCTCTGAAACAAATGATGCTGAAAACCAAACAGCTACATGTAAAAGAATGAAACTGGACCACTTCCTTACACCATACACAAAAATAAACTCAGAATGGATTAAAAACCTACACATGAGACCTGAAACTGTAAAAATCCTAGAAGAGAGCATAGGCAATAATTTCTCTGAATCAGCTATAGTACCATATTTCTATATATGCCCAAAACAAGGGAAACAAAAGCAAAAATAAACTATTGGGACTATATCAAAAACAAAGGAAACAATCAAGGAAGCTAAAAGACAACTTACTAAATTGGAGAAGATATTCGCAAACAACATATCCAATAAAGGGTTAGTATCCAAAATATATGAAGAACTTATAACTCAGCACCAAAAAACCCCAAATAATCCAACTAAAAGAATGGGCAGAAAATATGAACAGACATTTCTCCAAAGATGACATACAGATGATCTATAGACTTGTGAAAAGATGCTCAACATCACTCATTATGAGTGAAATGTAAATCAAAACCACAATGAGATATTGTCTCATATATGCTGGAATGGCTAAAATCAAATATGCGAGAAATAACAAGTGTTGGGTGAGGATGTGGAGAAAAAGGAACC